CTGGCTGTGTTGTTGTGGTGGGAGCCCAGGAATGTTCTTGCCTTTATTACAGTGCCTTCTAGTTATCAGTAATTCAATCACTGGTTAACATGATCTTCCAGTTTAATCCAATAAAGACCTTATGGTCAGGTTATGTGTACTAAAAGCAATGAGGGTCACCCTTTTTCTGAGCTGTCGCAGTTGCTTTAAACAGCTCATAGTGGCAAATACAGGGTAGGGAACCTTGTAGGGCAGTAACCAGCTCTTCCGAATGAAGGAGAAGCAGAAATGTAATGAATTAAATGTCTGGCAGAGGAATCATGCTTTGGCACAGTGCCAAGTGTTGGCTCATCTGGTGTCAAGGAAGTTTCGGTATTGATTGCAGAGGAAGCAGGACATCGCCTAAATGGCAGCTCTTGCAGAGGTTTGGAGCTCATGTTCACCTCTCCCAGGGCAAATCATCTCCCCAGGCAAAGGAAATGAATCTATGTGACCCAGACCTAGGTCTGCTGGGAGATGCAAAGGGCAGGACTTGGAGTGGCAGGAGGGCTGTGCAAGATCGTTTCTTTAGAAAATAGTGCCTGAGGGTCTTTGCAAGAGAGCTTGGAAGATAAAAGCTGGAGGGGGTTGGGGGAGGCGAAGACAGCTGGGTGCTGCAATGTGAGTAATATCATTACTGATGGAAAGCATTAAGGGGTGTAGCTAAGGATGTGGTGGCAAGGAGGTGAGGTGGAGGTGTGGAATTTCATATCGGTGAACCAGGCTCCCAAGGGGATGGTATGACTGAGAAGCTCTGGGACAGAACGTGACGTGGAGCTGTGGCTGCCTGCTACACTCTTTGGCCAGAGATGCTGAGACAATTTCCTGATTCCAGTGGGCAGTTCTCCTGAGCTGTCCCCCTCTGCGATCAGGCTGGCTCCATCGTGGCTTGGCTGCTCTTGTTTGTGGCTGGAAGGGGTACGTGGCACATGAAACCTCTGCGTGTGGCCACAAGTTCCTCTTGTGCTCCAACCTACTGCTGATCTTGGTGGGAGACTTACAGAGTAGACCCTGGCAGGGAAGGAGCTGATGACATGTGCAGTTACTACCTCTTCCCTTCCCAGGCACCCTTCTCTTTGGCAGCACTCTGCTTCCTCACTGAAGTTTGATGAGCTGATAAACCAGCCTGATGAATCTGGCACTGCAGCCAGCTCCATAATACCTGTCTCCTTTAACAGAAAACTCTGCCCCATTTCTGCAGCAGGAGCACAGGTCACCTGAGTCTGTCTGGCCTCTCTGTTCTGTGGTTGCTGTTTTTCTCCACAAAAGCTGGTGGGGATGGGAGTGGATAGCACTGGCATAGGTAGGTGGGAAGGTCTGTGGGTGCACTTCCATGTGCCCAGGGCGTGGGAGCCAGGTGAAGAGGGTCTGCCAAAGGGAGAGGACAGCCAGGTGGGCCAGTGGGTTGCAGGGTCTAAAAGACCACTTGCTGAAGAGGAACTGCTAGCTGAATGTTGGAAGGAGCTGCTAAAAATGGGAGATACTCTTTGAGTCCCCTTAGGGCTGGGGTGAAGGGGAATCAAGGGAAATGCCAAAAAGACTCTTCCAGTGGGGAAGCTCTTAGCTCTGCATTACACAGATGAGTGACAGAAACCGGCTTGTCTGGAAGGAGTCTTGGGAAGAAGATGCTGGGACTAGCTTAGTGGCTGGGATCATACCAAGGAGGTGGACAGGGTGCAAAAATTCCTTCAAATCATAGAAGAGGGATGTAAACTAAGAAAATATGAGTGCCTTAAAGAGACCTGATCTTGAGAAGTGGACGAGACGCCCTTGGTAGTGAGACAGTAGGAGGTGGTTCCAGACAGCAACCAAGTGTCTAGCTGGAAAGTCTGGAAGGAAGGATTGACTCACCATCCCTGAACCTCTGAACCTGGAAAGTGATTGAACCCCTTTGGGAACTGGGTTGTACAGAGAATTCCTTGTTTTAAGGAGCACAAACCAGCACAACTCTGACCAAAATGCCTAGAGTTTCACTGTTCTCCATGCGAATCTCAGTAACAGCCCTCGCAAGATTTGAGGGGAGTTGAGGTTATAATCAGTGGGGTCTTATGAATCAGACAGGAGAAGGATGCTCACAGCTTAGCATGCAGGATAGTGGAGAGACTGGTCGCAAGTGGGGATGTTAACTCAATTACCAGTGAGTGTGAGGATTCCTGTGTCTGCTTCTGCCTTGTTGATTTGTTGGCCCAGAGAAGCAGCTCAGGTTTCTGTCTTTGTCTGCCTTGTAAGACAGAAGCCTGCTGGGAGAAAGTGGGATGGGTTCTCCCTGAGCTTCCATCGCCCTGGAGAGGTGGCAGAGGCGGCAGTCCTTCTGGCGTCCTTAGATCTTGGTGGAAAGGCAGCATGGCTGCACCACGTGGGGCTTTCCCCCACAGGAGCTAGCTAATCTGTGACAGAGCACCTTGAGGAAAGGTCGAATGTGTGACTTCAAAGGAGAGCTGACAGGCCAGGAGCATTTCTAGCTCCCATGGGGCAAACTGCTGCTTTTTCCCGGTTTGTTTTTCTGCTGTGCCCATCTGCCAGTTCTTACTCTCCTCCAGGTGGGAAGAGGGGCAGGGAAGAGAGGAGGTGCAGAGGAGTCGAGAATAGATGAGAGTGTCTTTAGGCAAAGGAGATGGCAGATTGGATCACTGATCCTTGAAAATAACATCTCATCTGACAGGGCCGTGTTTAAGGGGTGAAACCCTCACTTTACACTCACAGCACATCAGGGCAGGCAGGGTTCCTGCTGAGGTTAGTGTTTTTGGTGCAAATCCTGAGTATCCCTGCAGCAGGAGGAGCAGCAGAGCCCTGGGAGATGCACTAAACCTTCACATCTGTCAAGAGGGTCCCGACCTAATGTCCTCAATCCTGTGGTCTGTGGCTGTTCCTGCCGCTAACCACCATCCGCCTAGCAAGGCAGTAACTGTGTCTGCAGACATTGGGATGTGTAGCTGTTGGTAAGGGCCTTTGGGAAGACCGATGCCAGGCAGTGGAGGGGAGATGTTTTTTGTTTGTGCTGCCACTGATTGCTCTTACCAGCCTCCTTGCCCTCTGAGGGGTCCTCAATCCTGTGGTCTGTGGCTGTTCCTGCCGCTAACCACCATCCGCCTAGCAAGGCAGTAACTGTGTCTGCAGACATTGGGATGTGTAGCTGTTGGTAAGGGCCTTTGGGAAGACCGATGCCAGGCAGTGGAGGGGAGATGTTTTTTGTTTGTGCTGCCACTGATTGCTCTTACCAGCCTCCTTGCCCTCTGAGGGAGCATCACCAGGTAGGCTGTTGGGTAGCAGTAGTCTTTTAATCCTCAGGGTCTTTGGGTAGAGTCTCAGTCAGGATGGGTGCTCTCTATTGAAACACAGCGGCAAAGTGGACATTGTTTCTGCCTGCGGTGGTCAGTAGATCTCAGTGGCCTGTTTGCAGCCAGAACTGGGAGACAGTCACCACATTACGACCCTGAAGGTCAGCAGCTGGATCATGCTCATCTTTGGGTAGCATCTGGAGGGAGCTGCTGACAGCATGAAGGGAATGAGCTGTGGGTTAGGGAAGCCACTTGCCAGCTGAATAGGAGCATCTTTGCACCTCCTGCTTGGGGTGGAGGGAGCAGTGTGGTTCTCCGCTCAGGAGGGATGGGGAGGAGCATGGAGAAGCAGCATGGGCAGTCCTGGTTGCCAGGGAATATCCAAGGCAATGGATATGTTTGCTGACATGGCCCTCCCTGCCTGGGAGCTCGTACCTGCTCCGGGAGCAGCAAGCGATGGATTGGAGTCAGGGATGTGTAGAGTTTCCTTGTGCAGATCTCCTCTGTAAGGCATCCAGACAGCTGCTGCCCACTGTGCTTAGTGGACCATCTGTTTTGGCAGGCAGGAGAGGAGGTGGGGGCCTTGGGGATTTCAGTCACATAACAACAGTAGCTATAGACAGGGCAGGGTGCTCGTTTCTGGCTGTGGAGGGATCCTCTTCCTTCCCTTTCTCAGTCAGAATATGTGCTGTGCTCATCTTGGGGAGAAAGGGAGTTAACTGGGATGCAAACTCCTGAAACGGAGCTCCTCAGGTACAGGCAATTTCTCAAGAAATTTGAAGGTTGATTTATGCCTGCTGGATTTATGCCTGCCACTCTGAGCTTAACGCGTCTGGTCTTACAGATACTCTCCTTATCTTGGGATCCCAGCCTCTTGCTGGGCTTCCAGAATAAGCCACTGCCTGCTCTGACCTTATGTTTGTAAGGTGCATCTTTCTCCTTCAGCATCTACATTTGTCTAGCAACATCACATGCATTCATGGTCAGAGCCACAGAACAACCAGGGGCTGGAGTTGGAGGGAGGGGACTTAGATTTGGCTCCTGTTTTTGGCTTCTGTTTTGCTGCAGCAAAACTGTTCCTTAATGACACAGAAAACTCATAATGCAGATGTTTGCGGGATGACTTTTCTGCTGTGAAGTGCTGTACGAACTGAAGTTCTGCATTTTGAAGATGCCCAGGTTGATTCAGGTTTTGGTGGTATTACTTGGGCGTGCCAGGGAGTAGGGTTTGGTTTGCTGTGCTGTTTCTCTTCCCTAGTATTTCCCATTTAGCATGTGGCTGACTGCTGCTACCACCCGGTATCTTTCTGAATCCCATGTGAAATTAGCCCCTGGGTCCCAGCTTAATTCTTAACACTCATGACCTCACCTTGGAGATGTCAGGTATCAAAGCTGTTATTTGCAGATCTCCTGGCTAGCAAGTCTGTGAAAACACCTTCAGGACAGAAAGGAGTGGGGAGAATGAACGTGTGAATTATCCCTAGGGAAATTGGGTTTGCTGGGATGGTACAGGGAGCTGGGGAAGTACAGAAGGTTGCACTGCACTTGTCAGATGGGATTGTTCTTATCAGTGGCAGGCTACCTGCTCTTAGAGGGTCTCTGCCATTTGACCCCATCTGGGGCTAGGCACATATAATGGGGCCATCTCTCTGCCTTTGATGGTTACTTGGGATGTGACATGAAGTCTTTTGGATCTCTTTTTAGATTACAGCTTTCCTGCTGCATCTCAGAAGGCCCTGCTGAAAGGGAATGGGACACAGGTGAAAGACAACTGGGAAACAGCCACTGTCCAGCCGCCAGCAGAATTTGTTGAGCCTGACTTGCACATGCCTTTCTCCAGCACGCTGGAGGAAGAGGAGGGGCTGCTCCCTATAGACCACTCAAGAGGAGGAGTGGAGAGCCTCCAGACCTCTGGGCCAGAGGTTACATCTTCTGAACCAGTGGGCCAAGAGGAGTCCTTCTCCCTTCTGTTTTCCACAGCCTCTGCAAGGCCAGGTGTGACCAAGGCAGCCATAGGAGGGCAAGAAGAGGACTCTGTTCCTCCAGGCTTAGACCTTGGGAGCAGCATGGGACCAGGTCTTCTGCCTGTGTCCTCTATTTTTTCTACTAGTACTGCTGCAAGCTCTCCCAGTATTTCAGAAGAGCCCTTTGAGGTGACAGCTGGGGACACGTGGGCTGTTGGGGGAGCAGATTCGGAGACGACTGTGAGTACCACAAGAGCAGAGCTTGCAGAGACCATGGTGGAGGCTGTTGGGGAAGAGCATTCAGCCAGAGAGGAGGTCTCAGAGACCACAGTGGGGTGGGAGATGCTGGAGCCCACGGTGCTAACTGAAATGGAGCAGACTGCGGAAATGCCTGTGGGGACACCCTCTCCTGGGGGCAGCTCCCCAGGCACCCAGACTCTTTCTGGCAGTGAGCAGCACCCCACTTCTTCTGCGTCTCTGTGGGACAGGGCTGACGAGCCTGCACTGGATCCCGTTTGGAATGACTCCGAGTCAGCCACTGAGACTGTGGCAGCAGAAAGGAGCTTGTCACCGCAGGCTGGGGACGCCCGCATGGCCATGCTGCCAACAGAGCTGCCCTGGGACTCAGCACAGGTAGCACTGGGAGCAGGGAGTGGGTGGGAGGTTGCAGTGGAGATATTTGGGTACTTCTCTTTGGGGGAGTGTTTAACCCCTTAACCTTACCCACATCCTGAATTCTGGCTGGTGGAAGTAGCTGCTTCTGTTCACCCAGCCAAAACTGAATTTTGGGGGATGTTTTTCACAGCACTTCTTAAGGATATCCACCATCCTTGGTGAAAGCTGTGCCCCCTAACATCTTCCCCAGCGAACTGCTGCACAGAATCCTGCTTCTAATAAATGCCTGCCCTCTGGGGCATGCACAGCAGCAAAAACTCCTTGTTTCCTCAGCCTGCATTATTGGAAGTGTCAGGACAAAAATGCCCCCAGGGTTTTCTGGAAAGGGAGTGAGAAGGAAGTGCTATTTTTGCTGCTGCTGCTGCCTGCAGGGACCAGATGCAGAGCAGGTGGAGCAGGGTGCAGAGATCTGTGAGGATGTTAGTCTAGGAGAGCCTGTGGGAGAGGAGGTGTGAGGTGAACTGCAGTTCCTGAATCCAGCAAACTGGCAGCTGGTTAAGAGAAGACAGGTAGCAGGAGCTGGCTGGTGAGAAAGTATCAGGGAAAGCTTTTAATTTTGCTTTCTGCCCCATGGTACTCGGGTCCCTGAGCAAGTGACTTAGTCCCTCTGTGCATCTGATCCTGCCTGCAAAGTGCTGCCCTGTCTCACCAGTTTGTTTAAGGACCACAGAGGCTCCTGGTTAGGTTTTATGTTGTGTTAAGTGCTGATCACATACAGGATAAGGCTGCAGGCTAGAGAGCTTTCCACTGAGTATCTGAGTCCTCCTGGAGTCTAGATACAGGTGGGAGGTAAGCTGGGCTGTGGCAAGCTGGCACAGTACCTTGTCCCTGCCCCATGTGCTAGCACTGAAATAGTGTTTCCTCCTTAGTGCAGAGCGTTAGAGGACAGTTACTTCCTTTGAGGAGCGCTTCTCTGGGGTATGGCACAGCCCCTTGCTCCTGTCCCTTGTGTATCCCATGCTTTCAGCAGGAGAGCTGCATTTGCTACCCATACCCAGCTGTCTTTATGCCTTGTCTCTCCAGGTGATCTGCAAAGACTGGAGCAACCTTGCGGGGAAAAACTACATCATCCTGAATATGTCGGATAACATTGACTGTGTAAGTCAGTCCAAAGAGATTGGATGGCATGGGGGGAATAGTGCTTAGAGATGCGGAGGCAGGCACAGCTTTTGCTGTCTGCTTTCACTACAAAACATTTTAAAAGCACTAAATCTCAAAGTCCTTATAGAGGCTGTGGAGAGAAGGGGAGGAGGACAAATATTCCTGTTCTCCAAATGGGGAAAGAGTGGGTGGACTGAGAGGATTCTGCTCAAAGTCTAGCACATGTCAGTCCCATATCGGATTTTGACTAACTCCCGGCTGCTAGTCTGTGCCAGGCAGTACCTGGATTCTCATGAGACATGAGAGCTTTTAACATTGCACCTCTTACTGGTAGGAGACGTGGCAGGATTGAGGTGTGAGTCTCCTTCCCTCTCTGCCTTTTCCTTCCTCTCCTTCCAGCATATAGTAACGTTTCTCTGATGGCTCAGAGGAATGGGGACTCCCCATTTGCAGTGTGAATGGTTCGGTGTGAGGCAGCTGTCACTAAATCTGCCTTAAGTGCTTCTTCTCCCCACCCCGTTATCTTGCATGTCATCTGGGTCTGTTAACCAGCCACACTCTGCTAATCCAATGCCTGTTCATCCATCCCCATAAAGCTGCAGTTAATTCATGAGGCCAGATCCCCTTGTGGATCCCTGGTAAAAGGGCTTGTTCACCTCTGCTGGGCCTTTTATCAGGCACTTTAAAACCAGTTGTGGAAGGCCTGGGGTCAAGGTGCCTTTCATAATTCTAAGAAATGATTACGAGCCTGACAGCCTGAGACCAAAATGTTTCATCGGGGAACTGTTCTGGCCTCGCGTGTCTGCACTTTTGCTCGCTGCAGCTCCTGCTCTAGGCAGAGCCGGCTGGTTTTGTTACTGCAGGGTGGCTCTGTGGCACTGACCTATTTCCACTACTGGTGAGTTGTTCGGGGGGGGGGGCGTGTGCGGTGTGGGGTTTTTTGGGATTTTTTTTTAAGGTGAACTTTTTGGGGACAGGGAAAACAGGGGAATTCCTATACACAATAAAGCATGCTGACTGCTTTAAGGGTAGATGAAAAATCAGTCTCTTTCCTCCTGATTTAGGCAAACCAGTTTGTTCTTTGGAGGATTTTAAGTATCTCTGCTACATTCACAATTGCAACTCAGAAAATCAGTCCTTGAGAACCTGAGTTCTGCTGCCCTGTTTCCCCCATGTCCTAGTCCCCATTGCTCTTTCTCCCATCTCTGTGGAGTTTAAATGCTGGTTAATTTTGCAATACGTAGTAGCTTCTTTCCTGTGGTCACTGCACTTGTGTTCTTCAAACCACTGGAAGGGTGGGAACTGAAAAGCAGATGTGCAGATGCCTCTTGACCAAATTGTGTCTTTATTGTTGAATCCTCAGTTCTGCCTTGCTGAAAGAAGACAGTGCCCTGGGATAGGCAGGACTGAACTGTTTTTCTACTTGATTTCATGTTTCAAAACATATTTCCCAGTGAATGATTTGTGCTGTCCTCCCCCTTATTCAAAGGGACACTTGTCAACATACATATTTAACATAAACATCGCTTCGTTCCCTGCCTCCCATTACCACTTTGCGTGGCTGAAGCTGGAATCAAGCTCTTCTTTCTCCTTTCCACTAATGTTGATGCAGTTTGTTTCCTACCCATGCAAATTTGCTCATTTTGGGCAACTCACCTACCCTCTGCCTGTCCCTTTTGTTTTCTGGTTTCTGTGTCTGAGCCCTGTGGTGTTTGGATTTCCAGGGTTGCGAAGGAGAACTTGCATTGCGAGTGCTGTAGTTTAAATTAGTGTGAATGGGGATTCCTCACACATTTCCTGTGTTTTGATGTCCTGATCCGGTGTGGTACCAAGTCCCACTGAAAAGCTGAGGGGCACAGAGGATGCTTAGCTCCTTCCAGAGGGTTGCACCTTGAGCTTTAATGTTCTTCATAGCGCCAGGCTTTTACCTGCTGCAGGGATGATGTCTGTATTGCTGGGTTAAGCTGGCAGCCCATTTATCTTCCTAATGGGCTCTGGGCAAGGCAGTCACTTCAGTCTCTCTCTGGGCACATCTCCCACTCAATATACCTGGGAATTTTGCCAGTGAGGACTGCAGGATCTGACCCAGCAGTGGTACCTGGCTACACATCAGGAGGTGACCTCCACCTCGGCTCACATGTGTTCAGGCTCCTTCACAGCTCCCTTCCCCACCACGGAGAATTTATCAGTGCTCTGCAACCTCTGCTTTCCCCGTCACTAGAAACATTTCACCTCTGCCCTCCTCCTGCTCTTGGGCTAAGCTGCTCCCCCTTCCTCCGCATCCCCCGAAACAGAGCCGCAGGCTGGCAGTGGAGCTGTGAGCCAGAGCCACAGCTGAGCAGCATGGCGCTGCATCCTGGCGCTACTCCTCCCGCCTCCCCGTGCCGAAACCCGTAACCTGATGAGACGAGGCACTGGCAGGCCCTTGTGATTCAGGCCCCAGTCATCGGTGTCTTTTCCAATTAGGCCATTTTCGGCACAGGCCTGTGCCTGCCCTGAGAGCTTCAAATTGCCATGGCAACAAGAGCTCTTCCATTTTATTAATCATCTGTGTGGCCTTCAGGTTGGCATGGCAACCAGAGATAAGAATAGAAACACAGGAGTGAGAAAGCGGCAAAGGAGCCCGCCCAGGGATGGCTGGAGCATGTCAGGCTGAGCGGCACCCGCTGACCCAGCGCTGGCTGCGGGGAAGAGCCTGGCTGCTTCCTTCTTGCCTTACACGATAGTGTCGCTTCAGGACCCCTGTGTGCCGGGGGAGCTGGGCTTGGCATGGTGTGGGGCGTATGGTGGCCGCAGGAGCCGAGGAGGAGGGTTGGTGTGTCAGGAGATGTATGTGGGTCCAGCCTGGGGGACTGGGAATGTGCAGGGGAGCGCTGCACCAGGTTTAGCACTGCTGGCTTTTGGGTACGCCTGGTTCAGGGGTCTCAGCCACACAGCCGTGCCAGCCCTGCCCTGTTCGCTCCATGCACTCACCAAGGTCCCTTTCCTGAGTGCTACATCTGCCCTGTTCCCTCCATGCACTCACCAAGGTCCCTTTCCTGTGGCAGGAGGAGTTTCGGCTGGAGAGGGGTCCCCAGCTGTTGGCACTGGTGGAGGATGCCTTCTCCAGACAGGCGGATGGACCACAGGACCGCTGGCTGATCTCTCTGAGCAAACCTAATGAGAACGACAAGCACTTGCTAATGACACTGGCAGGGGAACAGGGTAAGTGCTGGGAGACGGAGCCATCCTGTGTTGGGGGGTTGTATTTAAGGGGCTCTCAAATGGAGGTGCTCAGGCATGTTGGAAGGAGCTTTTGCTCTCCAGTCCATTTCAATCCCACCAGTTCCCAGTGTTAACTGGACTTGAGGGATGGAGGGGGACTGAGGACATAAGACCCTTTTTCTTCACATCTGCCTTCTGGCTTGTCCCTCACCGCTTGCATGAAGCTCCATCTTCTGCGCTTTGCCTCCTGCTTTGCTTCCTCCCTGGATTGCCTCCACTCGAGCATCCGTCAGCTTTATCCCGGTGCTTATATACTTACCTCCATGGGCAGGCCACTGAAATGGCAGGACATGACAGCCTGCTCTTAGTTCACTTCTTAACTTAACACTTCTTAAGTCTTGTCCGAACTGGGCCAGTCCTGACTGTGCCTCCCCTGCATCTTCAAAGAAACAAAAGCTGACAGTGAAAGGTGGGCTGGCCTGGAACATTTTACCATCTCTTTAATCCCCTTTTGGTAGGGGGATGCTTTTCCTGTACTGCTTCTGCTGCCTGCTTAGTGACAGAGGCCTCTAATGTTGATGTTATGGCCTATATGAAAAAAACCCAACACTATTCTAAAATGCCCCACAGCGATAGGAAAATACAGCTAACATTTAAGTGGTATTTGCTGTATCGATGCCTTAAATCATTGCATCTCTCCCAAGCCCTTGGGCTGGAGCATGTGCCAGTGAAAAGGCTTTGGTGAGTATTTAGTCTTCTAAACTAAAACCTTCATGCCATCATGAAAGGGGACATCCCCCTTCCTGGAGAAGAAAACAGGTCTGAACTCCAGAAACACAGCCAGGCTGGGAGATATCACTGAGTTTAGAAACCTCAGGAACCAAAGTATTTTCCGCTCTGAATAATCAAGCATTTGTTCAGTTCCTCTTTTTACTGCTGTGCAAGTGGAAGGAGAAATGGGCCTGCAGCGGGAGCGAGCGGCTGCGTGGTGCTTAGTTGCCGACTGAAATTAAACCACGACAGGGCCTCAGCCTCCAAATCCTCCCTGACTGCTCCTGTTCTCCTGGCTTGGAGAGCATCCTGGGAGCTGTTAGGGAAGGAGGGTCCCAGGAAGGGGTGGATCAGTGTGGGCTGGTGGCTCCCTGGCTGAAGCTGTCTCCTGCTGGGAGTGGAGCTGTTACAGCACATCTCCTGCAGCCTCTGCTGTTGCGCCAGGCACACCACCTTGCCAGGGTGTCCTGCAGAGCAAAACACACCTGCTAAAGGTTGTGATAGGTGAGCATGGAGGTCTGTGGGAACATCTTGAGTGCTGCAGCTCGGGATCAAGTTGTGCTGGACAGGGAGGCTGTATCGGGCAGCATAGGCACCTGCCTCCATGACTTTTTGGGTGTTGCTGCTCACTCCCAGAGCAGACACAGATCCTGAGAGCTGCTGTGGCTGTGGAAAGGGCACCTAGGTGCCTCCGGTATCAGTACGTGCCTGGATTTTTTTCCCCCCTTTAAAGAACACTTGGAGGTACCCTTGGTTGTGGTCCTTGCATTCTTTCAGCCTCCTAACATAAAGTACCAATGAACAAAAATGTGCATTCCCCTGCATCTAATCTGTTTGGGATTTCACAGTGAAGAGTATATCTATCTGAGCTAACCTGAGCTGAGAGCAGCACTGATCTCTCCCTCTCCTTCTTTACAGGTGTCATCCCTACAAAAGATGTTCTTACGGCACTGGGGGATGTTAAGAGGAGCTTAGCCGAGGTAAGAGCCTGTCTGCCTGCATCCATTTGTTAAGACTAGCTATACAATTAAAATAAGCACCTTGAAAACTGGGACCATATCTCAAGTCTAAGCGAGTGCTGAACCCACAGCAGGCAAGCAGATGAGTCAGGCACTTGGCAAACTCCCTTGGTAGTTGCCAGGCCATCAAATGTCTGCTCCCATTAAGAGAGTAACTGTGGGTTATTCCCTCCCTGCTTTTCTGGCTTGGTTGTGAAGCTGCTTTTCACACATTCATTTTGTTGGGATACTTGGTCTCATCCCTTCTACACTATTGCCTGTGGCGATGTGGGTGCTGCAGAGCCCCAGATTTGGCCCTGCTCACCCTACAGCTGATTTACATACTTTGGCTGCTCAGGCTTTGCTGAAGGAGGTGGGAGAGGTGCATGTACTAGATGGGACATGTTCATGCACCTTCCTGCAATCCCAGGCTCTGCATTTCACTCCTTTAGACAACTGCCTACACAAGGGCAGGCAGAGTACCAGAGGCGATGGATGCCGGAGTCCACTGCCAGCTGCCTCTAGCCCTCATGTATTCCCCTCTAACCCTGGCCAGCTTGGAAGAGGGTAGAGATGAGGGCAAATTAGTCCCATGATCTCTGACTTTGCCCTTTAGGCCTATGGGATATGTAGGCACTGGGGGCCTGATTCTGCTTGGGTTTTTTTACACTACTGGAGTAATTCTGCTGACTTTAGCAGCAGAGTTGGGCCACTGCCTTGCTGGCTGTCTGCTCTCAGGTTTTTCCCTGACCTAACAAACTGGTGCAGTTAGACAAAGCAAATTAAGTGCTCGGTGCTGTATTGATTGGCTTACACCAGAGAAAGCGTGAAAAGCAAACCCTGTAGAAATTGTGTGACTGAAGTATCAGCAGCTAGAACTGTCCAGGAAGAAGGATTTGTGTTGGTGCAAGGTTTGACTTCTTTGTGCAACTGTGACTCTATGTTAACAGGCAACCTAGCAGAGCAGCCTCGCCACCTGCCTCCGACTCTCCGGCTCTATCAATAATGAAACACTGCTCATTGCACTGACCTTGTGCTAGCACGAGCTTGGAAGGAGGAGGGAGGATATTCTCTTACACCTGTCATACTTACTATCGGATTGATATGTAACCTGTTTGAAATCTGCCAAGTCATTGGGACTGACGTTGGGCTTTGTTTGCTGACAACCACTGGGGGCCCATTTCTAGGGCAGCTATTCCTAAGCTTTTTGGATCAGCAGGCAGCTGTCCACTTTCAAGACCTTGTAAAGACCACTATGCCCTCTTAGGACCAGAGCTTTAATGGAAACCTATTTATTATGGTTACATTCTCTGTCAAACAGTCACCAAAGCCTCAGCACCCACCAGTGGTCCATAGTTTGTCTTGGGAACTCTTAATGTTGGGCAGTTTCTCCCTTGAAAGCCTCCTTGTCTTGCACATAGGTGTGATCCTTGTGCAGGCGATCAAGATAAGATTGTGCCTACTGTCATTTGCTGACGTGTCAGCTTTCATGGAAGACGGTGTTAAATTTAGTTATGTGCCTTCTAGTCGTGTAAGACACTGTATATCCTCACTCCCCAACCCTGGCTTTTAGTTCCTCTGCCCACAGTGATGGTCCTGTACTTGGACCCTGGAAAGTCTGAACAGGATCCCACCTGACTGCAGGCCAGGGGATTTAGTGTACCCCTTTCTTCCTTCCAGATTGGCATCCAGAACTACTCAACCACCACAAGCTGCCAGTCGCACCCCAACCAGACACGCAGCGATTATGGGAAACTCTTTGTGGTACTGGTGATCATTGGTTCCATCTGTGCCATCATCATTGTATTGGGGCTCATATACAACTGCTGGCAGAGACGTCTGCCCAAGATGAAGAACATGGTGAGCATGGGACAGGTGGAGAAGGTGGCTAGACTCTTAGCCCTTGGGATGGAGGGGATTGGAAAGTTAAGAGGGAGATTGTTTCCCCTGTCCACTTACTGGACATAGCTGGATACACTGCTGGAGCAGCAAGGGAGCCCATTCAGGCATAAGAGAGATACAAACCTGTCTCTTGCTGTGCTCAGGACAGCTTGTTTCCACTGGGAGGGCTGGGCTAGGAGTAAATTTACCTTTTCCCACTGACCCTGCAAAGTCCTCGGTGACCCTTATAGCCTGGTCTGATTGTGCTGCTCAGCAGCATTAAGACCTGTCCTCCTTTGTCTCCATTGTGTTCCTCTCATCCTTTGCAGTCGCATGGCGAGGAGCTGCGCTTTGTTGAGAACGGCTGCCATGACAACCCTACCTTGGATGTGGCCAGTGACAGCCAGTCGGAAATGCAGGAGAAGAAGCCAAGCGTGAATGGTGGAAACAACATCAACGGCCCTGACAGCTGGGATGTCCTGATCAATAAGCAGGCGAGCGAGGATGTGGATGTGTTTGAGGAAGACACACATCTTTAGAAAAAGAAGGGAGAGAACCACCCCCTTAAATGCACTTGTCTCTCTCCTGTCTTGACTGATGGACCACGGGATCAGGTGGCTTCTCAGGAACTTCTTAAAGGCTTGGGACAGGTCAAGTCTTTGGGCAAGTTTTCCCGATAGAAGTCCTGAGCCTGCATCTGAGGCTTGGAGCCAGGAGGATCACTGAACAGAGGGAAGCGGGAGGGGTGGGTGTGTAGGTCTCTTTGTGTGTATTCCTATCAGTAGCACCAATGCTTTCATCACCTTTAAATGCACTTACTGTAGCTCTCTGGTAGTGGCTGAGAGTGGCTGGGCTTGAGAAGCAAGGCGGTGAGGCTGAGTCTGCCACCAAGAGTCCAGCTTTGGGGAGTAAATTCACTTTGGGAGTCCAGCTGGAGCTACGGCAGCCAGATCCTGACCTTGAGATCATGTTCAGTCTCTGCAGGTGCAGTAAAACCTGTGCATTCTGAATGGAGGGGAGCCAAGACTCAGTCAGTGTCCTGGGCAGAGATTTGTTTGTGGGTTTTTTTTAGTGCTCTAGCATTCAGCTGCTAATTAGATGGGCTGATGTTTACATCTGGGGAAGACATCCCACTGTCACCTCATTTCCCCCCTCACACCGCAAACAGCCCCACTCCCTTTTTCAGCTCCACAGCTCCAAGCTGAGTTTGCAAAGTTTGAGCACTTTACCCTTGCTTGACTGATTGCAGAGAATTCGGTGCCGTGGCGCAGCATCTTAGCTGGAAATTTGCTTTAGGTTGGAGAGTTGCTCAGTGCCGTGGCGCAGGAAATTTGCTTTAGGTTGGAGAGTTGCTCAAAAAGTACATTTACCTGCCTCTTTCACGCAACAGCCTGTGAAATCAGCAGCAAAGTATCCCTTGTCTTAAGTCTCAGTTTTAGACTGGCAGGCCTTCTCCACTCCTGTTCTATTTTCCAGGATAGTTTGGTTTCAGTTGGTCTTTTTGAGGTAAATGTAAAGACTATGTGAGACTTTTTGAACGGGGACAAAAGTAAAAACTCAGAAACAGATAGTTTTCTGGTCCTTTTGTTTCCTTTTCAGCATCCTGCCCGGAGGGGAAGGAAGTGTTTAATGTCCCATAGGTGTAAATTGGGGTAACATCTTTAAAATCACTGCATTTAAGCAAGCGTAAAAGCCAGTTCAGGTGAGATGAGAATCATCGATCTAAGAGCTCCCCAATGAATGTTTCTCAGGCATGCCTCGGGCAACTTTGAGGTTCCAGCTCCCTGAAGAGGTGTGATAAAAGGCACGTGAATATGCGTAATTGTTCTCTGAGCCCCGCCTAAACCGAGACTCAGAACTACTGTCAAGCCTGAAATCCCGGAACATTTGTTTCTTCTGTCATCAGGGGATTGAAGGACTTGCTTTGGTCAGAGGCAACAGTATTCCTCTCTGTTACAGTGATCTGCATACGTGCTTACTGCAAGATGCAGCTTCGCATTTGGCCTTTAAGGGAATCTTTGTACAGAAGGACCCCAGATATGCAGCCTGATGCTGAGCCTGTAAATCTGTCCCTGTATGTATAGATATTTTTAGCATGTTCATCCCTGATGTGAGTTCCTAAAGTCAAGGTACAAGAGTCTGTTGTTTCATTTTGCGTAGCGCTTTGCATACAAACTGAATCACAGATCACCTTGATGTAGGACCACGTTGATATCAGTCTATTAGGGATTCAAGAAAGGTGATAGCCTTTGGTTTCCTATCCAGATTCCAATTTTCAGTGTTTTTATCCTGCCTCCATACCTTTCCCCGTGTTATGTAGGAGATGGTGACCGTCAGCTCCATTTGTATCTCGGTGGTACGGTCACGGAGATGCTCAGAGGAGTTCCCTCTCCTGCCCCAGCAGTTGATAATGGGGGACAGTCCGTGTACGTAGGCAGCCACGTGTGGCTCTTCTCCGACCACCCCTCGATGATGGCTCCTGCTGAGTTTGATGGGTCTGTGCAGTGAAACTGCACAAGTTCAGTAGCTGTGTTGGTGGCACTTTGGGACTCACAGGATTAAATGCAAGTTGTTGTTATGATGTGGTGAGTAAATTAAAGCATGGAGTTAAAATTTGAGTTTGTATAGCACTTAGCATAACGGGGCCTGGCATGGCCGGGGCCTTTAGGCAGTTTCACCGTATAAATGTTTCTAAGTCCAATAATCCTCAAGAAATATGTTTTTAATGCCCAGTGGATATTAGAAAGAACACCACCAATCAGATGTGAATCACTTCACCCACAAAACACTTCCTTGTTGCACTTCATTGCTAGGAGCTGCTTTGCTGCCCTGTTTTCTCTCCACTTTACTAATTCAGAGAAACAACAAGGTGCTGATAAAGCAATGCTTCTGGCTAGGCTCAGCACCTGCTGATCTAATGTAAAGTCTTCAAACTTTAAAGAAAACAAGTGGGCTATGCAAGCTCATTAATAAGCTAGCAAGTTCTCCTGATTTGCTCTTCTGGCTTCTTATGGCCTGAAGGTTTTCCAGAGACCGTAGAGCGCTCTATTGCGTCTGGAGCATCCAGGCGATCTTGAGAGTGTCTAAGGGTGGCCGTCACGAGGCTGAGAACAATTTTCTGCTGTCTCTGTCAGGGTGCGCCTGGCTGTATGTTCTCAGTTTAGCTCCAGAAATCTACTGGTTAATAGTGTTTCACTTTAGTCCGGTGATACTTTTTATACCTTTACCATTTGTTTTTTCTCTGTATCATTTTTTTGCACTAGGCTGACCTTGTTAAGTCGATTGCACTGTTGTCCCTCTCCCGCCAGCCTTGCAGAGACGGGTCATCTCCGGGGACCTGCGGGCTGGGGACCACTGTAGAGAGGCTGTTGATAGCCCACTTACTCTGTTGTTCAGTGCTTGGGTTTCCAGCTCTGCACAGGGAGGATTTAAAGAGGAAGAGAAACTTTGTCTTAGCATTTGTAACAGGAAGCTTTTTTTATCAGCTTAATATAGTTAAACTTCTTTTTAACAAAAACTGTCAAAGCTGGATTTCTCAGAGCGGTGTGCCAGGCGACAGAGCAGATGCAGGAGACAAAGTGATTCCGGGAGAACTGTTTTCCACCTACTCGGACTTCATTGTAGTCCCGTCTACCAAACGTTTGATCGCACTGACACCTGGTGGCTGCTGGGAGTTGGAGACGAAGAATAATTTAAAAAAGGATTTTTCCCCGTCTTAGCTCTGGGTATTTGTTTCCTGTGACTTGCCTAGGACAGTCACCTGCTTTATTCACGAGGGGCTGCTGGACTCACCAGTGAGCAGAGGGGCTCGCACCAGGCATGTAAGGGATGGTTTGTGCAAGGACATCCCTGTCTGCAAAGCAATGAGATGGGACATTCCCTGGAGTCACCGGTCTAGAGGCCCTGGGTAGCAATACGGGGTCTCAGCTCCATCTCCCCGCTTTCTCCTCCACTTGCCCCCCCTCCTCCCAGGGAGCACAGACAGAAAGCAGAAGCTCTGGCTTGAAATGGAGGTGGTTCTTCAGAGAGAGCATCAGATGCTGGTGCGAGGAGCTCTGCGCCCCGGGGAGCGCCGGCGATGGCATCGGCTGGATGCATGGCCAAGATCAGAGTGGCTCTTCATCTCTGTGGAACGGTGGCCAGATGTGGTCTGGGATGGCCAAGCTGCAGATTACTCCCAGATGTTGCCCAGATGTCTAAAACAGCATCTATAATGTGGAGTCCAACATGTGCTAGGATTTCGTATCCTGCAGACCGCCTCGTGGTATGTAGGGTGTAAAGAAACAATGAGAAGTGACCCGGTAACTATGCTGTGGAGTATGGAATGCAGGTTAAGAATACAGTTCAAGATACCACCTTAAGGATCTCTACAGGCAAAGGACGCAGTGTGAAATGGAGGTGCATTATTGTACAGATTACTGCAGTATGACCTTAGAGCATCGCAGCAGGATCCCACTGCAGCCGCTGCTGTCAGCAGCTCGTCTGTTCCCGTCCACCTTCACAGCCACGCAGGAGCACCTCTCTCCTTGACAGGGGGTTTGGGGCAGCTTGGACAGTCAGAGACAACAAGCACCTTCATCCGTGCTGGCTCACGAGAGCCTCGTGGGCTCATCTCGACTGGCAGCCGTTCTTCTCAACACCCTCATTCCTGCTGGACCTAAACTGTCTGCAAGCCCTGGCCTTTGCCCGGCATTGCTGCCGGAGAATGCTTAGAAACACTCACGTCTGGCCCTGGAAGCGACAGGGTTGTGGTTTTGTTTTCTTTGCAATAAAACGCACCTCCTGGGTGTCTGAACACTGACCCAAGTGGAGTCTTTTGCCTGAATTCACGTCTGCTGCATCTGTTAATGCGGTGTTGGCCAGGGTCCCTCTGCCAGGATGGGGGGCGGGCGGTCTCGCCCCCCCGCCCCACAGAGTACTCCTTAATTCTCCCATTGCAGGCTGCTGTGGAAGCCCTGAGCTGTGCCAGGTGCCTGGGCTGTGGGAAACTGGCTCACCCTGTGGGGTGACAGTCCCGGCCCTGTGGGGTGCCCCCCGCCCCATCCCCACGGGACCAGCCCAGGACCCCTGGTCCCTGCTAGGGTGGCTGAGCACGAGCCTCTGTTCCAGAGCAGAGCCCCTGTGTGCGTGCACACCCCTGTGCCATGTCTGTCCCAGAGCAGGTGCCCCCAGCCAGCTCCCCACCATCCCAGACCTGCTCCAGAGCTGGACCCCACGCAACTGCACGTGGTCCAGAGCCCCTCCGTGTGTTCCAGGCCCCCCCTCCCACCCACGTTCAGGACCAGGTCCCCCC